TCTCTTCAGGTCTCTGACCTAGGTGCCCTGGCTCCTCACCAGATCAGAGATCAGGGTGACAGTGGAGGAGGGTGGGTGCCACTCAGACCATCTCGGGGCTCCGGCAGTTGCTGTTTCCTGGGCCCAGCAGACCAGTGGCAGGATTGTCTGTTTCCATAGCATCTTCACGTGACCCAGGAGCAGTTTCCGGGCGGATGACTGCCAAAGAGCAGGCTGGGCTGAGGCATCTCAAGAGGTGTCTCTGGGCACAGGTCCTGAATCCTGACATGTCCGCTTCACACAGAAAGAAGGACCTGTCCTGATTCTGAGATGAAATTCTGCGAGGATAGGTCTCCCTCTCTCCGAGCCGTCCTGCCTTTTACTTCCACTGAAAATCAGTGGTTAATACTCTGTTGCCTGACAGGCTCCAAGGAGTTGTTTTCAAACCAATTGCTTGCACCCGAAAGCTAATCGCATTGTATTATCCTCCTTGCAAGTGTCTACTTTTTCTGACAGACGTTCCCACAGGTCCGTGTGGCCCCTGACCTTGAGCTCGGCTGCAGGCTGGTGGCTCTGGCCTTTCCCCCAGGGATGTTTCATCCTCCCCACTCCTCCTGCCCCTCCCTCCTCTCCCTCCTTCTCCTCCTCTTCTAGTTTCTATTTATTTATTTCTGTTTGGTTGATTTTTTTTTTTAAGACAGGTTCTCATGTAGCCCAGGCTGGCCTTGAATTCACTATGTAGCCCAGTATGATCAAGAACTTCTAATTCTTATTATTAGCTGAGTGCTGGAATGACAGATTCATGAGCCACCATGCCTGGTGTATGCAGTCAGTGCTGGGGGCCAAACCTAGGACTTCCTGCGTGCTAGGCAAACACTACCAAATAAGCCAAATCCCCAGCCCCGCCCCCTCCCCACTTTTAATGGCCTTTCTTAGACTGGAGTCATTGCTGGGATATTTTATAGGACCGCTCTAGCTCATACTTATTAAGGGTAGACTGTATGCCAGACACGTTAGGAATGTTTCCACATCCAGCAGTGCAGGAAATCATGGTTAGCCCATTTTCCCAATTTTGGGGAGAGTGTGTATGGGTGTTGTGTTGTGTGTGTGATATATGTGCTTGTTAGTGTGGGTAATGCATGCTCATGTGTGCACGTATGTGGGGAGGACACAGATGGATATCAGGTATCTTTATGACTCTTCATCATTATTTTTCTCAGACAGGGTCTTTCACGGAAGCGGAAGCTCATTGATTAGGCTAGGCTGGGCTGGTGGCAAATGAATGGGCTTCAGGAATCCACTTGTCTTACTATGCCCCCTCCACTCACCAAAACACTGAAGTTACAAACATAAACTGCCATGCCAAGACTCCAAGTGTATGTGGATTCTGGGGACCCGAACTCAGGTCCTCGCACATTCATGCAGGCACTATACTGACTGAGCAGTCTCTCCAGCTTCATTTCTCCCATCCTTTAAACCATGAAGAAACAGATCAGGGTGCTAACCCTACTTCTTAGAGCCTCATAGCAGAGCCAGGATTCAAGCCCACATCTGCTTCACCCACGTTCCCAAGTCCCACAAGCAAACGCCTGGCCAAGAGCAAGATGTCTGGTGAAGAGCATTTTTAAAGGAATTGCTCTATGGCTCGCAAGCGTCTCTTGCTGACTGGGACTTCTCACAGAACAGGGGTCATTTCTAATTAACAATTCATTATGTGACCAGAAAACTGCAGTCAAAAACCTCCGCTTGTCCTTCTGTCCCCAATGGGCTCTCATTTCCAGAGAGTCCAGAAGTGGCCAGGGTGGAATCTGAGATGAAAGACAGCACCCACCCCCCCCCCCAGCTCTCCTGTCCCCCAGAAGGAGGCAAGAAGGGGAGGAGCCTGCAGGGCTTACTCAACCTTTCCAGACTCCCTACATGGCTGCATCTCCAGCCTCCTCAGGCTGCAGGTCACCGGTGTGATCTGTCCTGCTGCCTGCGGCTTTCTTTTCTCCTCTGCGATAACCACAGTGGCTTACGGTAGGGTTCTAGTGTTTTCCATATCTGAGGTGGCATCGCTTTTTTTATTTTATTTTATTTTATTTTTTTTTTTTGCTTTTTCATTTAAGCCCACATGTCTCTCTGGCTCCTCTGTTCTGAGGTGACATCCATGTCCCATGGGGGCAACAAGGATTCCTTCGTCAACTGTATCAACTAAAAGGAGAAGGTGGTACGTAACCCTCACCTTAGGTATCTGGTAAACACGTTCTGTATTCACTGGCTTTTCAGGTCCAGTGCTATGAAGAGGCAACGGGAGCACTGAGGCTCAGAGCAGAGTACTTGGTCCCCACACAGTGAGCTCCCCAGATGAAGAGGAGCAGAGCTAGGCCTCAGTTTGCTGGACCTGCTCTTCCCAAGTAAGGCCACAGCCCCGAAGAGCTCTTGGGATCCTTCTAGCAGGTCAACTGTGTAAAGGGAGTCAGTTCACTCTCAGGCACAGAGCAGCTGTGGCCCAGAGAGGGAAGGGGACCTACTTGAAATCACACAGTCCCTTGGATGCGGAGCTAACGGCAAAGTCAGGCTTGCTGACCACAGTGCGGATGCCCTACCCCTCCCACTGCTGAAATTCTCAGCCCTGCACCTTGCTGCCTCTATGGCGGTCTTTCTTCCCCACCATTCCCGCTCCCTGGGACCAGAGCTCAGGCTCTCGGCAGGAATCTGGATGCGGAGAGTGGAGCTGAAGGGCACATTTGACCCCTAAAGATGTAAGGCCGATCTTTGCTGGCTGCTGAGGCCCCCACAGGAGTCAACTGTCAGCAAGGGCAAGAAATGGATTTTCCACTTGAGCTCCAGGCCAGTGGGTTGCTTTTTCCTGTCTGCATGCTTTGAGAAGGGGCTGAGCCTCCAAGTTTCTCCCTAGGCTGGGTCGCAAATCCCATGGCTTCCCTTTCCTACCCTGCTTCAGGTCTGTGACCAGGCCACTGCATACCCCACAGCCTACAGTCCCACCATGGCTCACTTCCCCGCCCCCCCCCCCTTCTATTCTTCCCAGCACCTCTAGAAAACCCAACTCCATTATTATGTAAGCAAAGAAACAATGGAAGAGAGGACCACTCATAGCCAACTATGGCCATTCCACAGCAGTGGGCAGTCTCCCTCGAAGGCTCAGAAATGGCATGGGACAAGACGAGAGTGGTGACATTACAGGAGAGGGCTGTCCATAGTCACAGCCCAGATCTGATCTTTAAAAACAGGACCAGCAAGGATCATTGTTAAAATGGTCACAGCAGCATGGAAGGAATGATATCACAGGCATTTCCTCCTCTGGTTTGTAGACTGTGCCAAACGCTTCTAAATCACTTTAAGCAATAACAAGAGCAATGGAACTGGCCTCCCTAGAAGCCACTGGACACTCGTTGGCCTCCCTGGACACTCGTTGTCCTTTAAGAACCCACTGAGGCCTGGTTCACCCCACAGTCACTGTCAGGAATCACTTGTCACCAGAACATAGACCTGTCTCAGGAAGAGCAGCTAGTGGGGTGATAGGGAGAGGAACCATGTCTCACCTGTATTCATAGCCACAGACACTCCATACGCATATCTCCCTTCATTTGGTGCACGCGCAGGCACACACACACACACACACACACACACACACACACACGTTCTTCATCTTTCTTACACTCTCCCACAATGCTCCATAACCAGTTCAATGTGAAACCGACACTATGGGCCTGAGTGACCCTTTTCCCAGCATGGCTTGTCTGGCAGTCATCAGTGACAGAGCTGGTTTTTGCATGATCTCCAAGTTCCCTGGACTCCTTTGTTCAAACTGATGAAACTCCCCGGCTCAAGGCTGGTAGGGATTGAGAGTGGTTTTAAGTGGCTAGAATTTTTACTGACAAAAGCTGACGAAACAAAGTCCTAGTTATGAGTGCCTGGGTTTGGATTCTGTGTGCAGACGCTGAGGGCAAAGTCAGGCTTGCTGACTGCCAAGCTATGGTGCCCCTTTCTGAACAAGCAGCTTAGATCCTCTATAGGATATAATTCCTACTCCTTGGACTGCTATGAAGACTAAATGACTTAATATTTATAAAGCAACCAGACTACCACCAGGAAATGTGCGCGTGGAATACAAATACCACACTAACTGCACCTCAGTCGGTGTTTCCTGAGAACTCACTGAATGTATCAGGTGAGACAAGTCTCCCAACGCCCACTAGTCAGTAGGAACAAGAGGAAAAAGAGCCTTTTTAGTTTAAGAAAATGTGAACATTCTAAACAGGTCATTACATGCAATTCTAAGAAGGGCTTGAGAAAGAACTTTCATCGATTTCCATGTAAACTTGAAAAAAAAAATATCCACAGCCCAAATCTTTTGAATTCGCTTACAAGATTGCATTCTAAGCCCTCTGTGAATTTAGATCAGGGCTCACTACACAGGGAAGCTTGGGAAAAGACTTCCACTAATGCTTACCTACGCCACCTCCCTGAATCTCCCTTCTTTCTTTGTGGGAGACTTCGGTCGCCCAGAAAATAACCTTAGGTTCACTGAGACTACCTCAGATTTGAAGACAACCTTTTGAGTATTTAGAGAGGGAGGACATGGGAACCTGAGTCACTGGTGAGGGGGGCAGTAAGTCACATTTTTAAAGCATGGTGATTTAACTCAAATGCTTTTTGAGCAAGCAGATGTACAGTTTAATAACTGATGGAAAAGTCAGTCAGTCAATCACTACTGCTCACCCCCATCCCACTCCTGTCCCCTAAATCCACTCAATCTTCTGAATGCAATGGCGTTTGAATGCCCTGGCCACAGTTAACCCGGTGTCTCTGCTTGGGGCCCAGGAGGTCCCTGTTGGCCCTGAGACCCAGGCATGGCAACTGGGACGGCGGGGCGGCGGCCGTCTTTCCCAGGCATCAGCACTGAGGTGCTGGTACCCAGCGAGCCTGTGCGCTCCAGGACGCGCTTGGCACAGGCAAAGTGACGCCTGTCCCTGAGCTGCAGGCCGGGTTGCGAAGCACTTAGCTCTTCCCTGGCTCTGTCCACCCCCGCAAATCCCTAGGTCGCCCCCGAACTTCATCCAGTAGGCGCTGTAAACGCCTACTGGAGACTTTAGGAAACTCCGGGCTGCGGTACCGCTTCCCCAGCCCGGTGGCAAGAGCGAGCGCGGCCGCCGGCTAGAGAGAAAGCGTTGCGCTCCGAGGCTGCGGCGCCCGGGCCGGCCGGACACTGGGGCGCGCGGCTCCGTCGCATCCCAGAGATGCTACGTGGATCGAGGGCCGCGAGGAGCCGGCCGCATCCACCTCCTCCGGAACCTGAGGCTTTCTACGGAGGGGAACCGGCAGGAAAGCGCGCCCAGGACCTAGAAAGGGGCGGCTCGGAGGGTGTCCGGAGGAGACGGGAACCCCCTCTAGAGCTTGAAGGGGACGTCGCTTCGGCCCCTAAGACTGCAGCGATTCTTCGCGTAGAGCCGGTTCCTCGAGTGGGCGGACCCCCTCCTCCTCCTCTAGCACCACAGCGGCTTCCCACCACCGGTTCTTTTTCCACCGGAGTTCTTCTGTCTCCGAAGTCAGGCTTCAGAGGTCCAGGTAGAGGGCACCTGGCTGTACCCAAGCCTCCCGGGACGCTCCGGGTTCCCTGCTCCCCTCCCCCAGCACCCCTGCCCACGCTTGTCCTGCGCCTGCCCGGCCCAGAGCGCCTCTGATCCCCGGCGGGCCGGTCCGCTCTTACCTTCACAAACCGGAGCTGCGGGCGCCGTCCCATCCTCGGGCTCGCACCGTCAGCGTCCCCGATGCCAGGATCCCTCCGACATCCCAGAGCCGAGAGCGGGCGGCTGCGGTCTCCGGTGGGCGGTGGGTCTCCCGGGCCTCTGCAAAGCTCCCAGGCACCGGGCTTCGCGCCCTCCCGCCCCGCCCCGCCGGTCTGCTCTGGCTCGCCCTTCGCGAGCAAGTCTGGTCGCCGTCTCCCTACTCAGCCCGGCCCGCCGCCACCTCTCTCCCGCCTGGAACCCGCGTCGCCCCGCCGCCTCCCCCACGGTCCGCCTGCCGCTCGCCTCGGCTCCCCGCCCCCTCGCCTCGCGTCCCCTCCTCTTTCTCCCTCCCCTCCCCTCTCCTCCGGTCCCTCCTCCGCGCCTCGCCCCTCCGCTGGGTGCCGGCTCCCGCCTCCTCTGTCCGCTGCCCAGCCGGGGGCCGGCTCCCTGCGCCCTGGCCGTGCTGAACCCCCCCTCTCCCCTGCACCCTGGCTTGCGGCAGTGCGCGGGGCGCGCAGGCAGCGGCGGTGGCCGCTGCAGCTCGGGGAGAAACAGGGATGGGGAGGCGGCGGCGGGAGAGCAGTCAGCTTCTCTCCTCTCGCCTTCTGTGCCGCTGGTGGTCGGGACCAAGGGAATCGAGGGTCTCGGGGGACTTGCGGGGCTCTGGGGAATTTAGGAGGCTAATAGGAGCTGGAGAATAGGGCCATCTCCACCAAGCTCAGCCTACGTGGAAACAAGAAGCCGGGAACTACATTTGGGTCGTTCCCGCCCTGTAGCCAGCCAGGAGGTCCACCAATACCCCCACTTCAGTAGGGAAGGGAGCCCGGGCCCGACCCCCACCCCCGCGCCTTTGGCCTAGACACACCCAGGATGTGCTGAGACACCAGAGCTCTGCAGCAGGAGCCTTTCCTTTTTCAATCTTTCGTTCCTTCATTCATTCATTTTTCAAACCAAGAGTCTGCCAGTTTGATCGAGGCCCTGCTTAGGATCCGCAAGATGAAGTGGAGACAGCGGTGCTGGGCACCTGGACTGTGCCGAGGGGAAAGCGGGCGCGCACTGTGCTGCGGCCCTATGCTCACAGCTGGGAATCCAGGGGGCAGGGCGTGCAGGAGGCCACAGCGCCCCCTCTTGGCCAAGCTCTCGGGGTTGGGGTGGGCTGTCCCGCTACACCTCGGGGTCTTCATCTGGGTTAGCTTTCTAACTCCACTCCAGCCTGAGAAGCAGCTCTCGCCACCTTCAGGCCCGTTAGAGGGACTGTTCTTTTGATTTCCTCCCCCTTTTCCTCCCTGAGCGGGAGCTGGAGAGGGAGAAAAGGAGTTTCTCAGAGGAAGAGACATCTTCACCCCGCAGAATCTGTGGTGGCTGCTCCTGAGTACACAGAAGCACCCGAGACAGGCAGGGTCCTAGTGCCGGGACCAGCTGACTTTGAGACCCAGCTGCGTCTGGCTGCTGCTCTGGACTCTGTGCTTTGTGCAACCCCTCTTCTGTATACTCTGTTCTCAGCACACTGAGCGAGATCCATCGCATCTAGGGGCCCCGTTGATAGCCATTTTGGAGCTGGAGTTGCTGTAGGTCGTGTGATAGTTTATTAGTGAAGAAACTGAGGCACTGTGGAGCATGACTTGTTCAAATCCCCCATAGACAGTATCCTCCTTCCTAATTCCCAGCTCAGTGGCCCTGGAGGTCTTGGCTCTGATGGGGTTGTGACTACTGAGATAAAAGGAGCACTGGCGAGACCCACTGGTCATATTGCTTAGCCACTGGTGTGTGTGTGTGTGTGTGTGTGTGTGTGTGTGTGTGTGTGTGTGTACAGTCCAGGTGAGGCAGAGCCCTGGTTCTTCAGGTTTGGGGTAGTGACTCAGTTCAGTCAGTCCCAGAGAGATGGATGCATGGACATACTAAACAGATTGCCAGCAAAAGGAAAGACAGAGTGACCCCGTAGCCTACTGGTCCTGGAGTCAGGCAGCCTGGACTGGAGTCTAGGCTCTTCTGAGTTCAAGCTGAACAACTCTGGATTTAGTGGGGCCTCAATATTTTCATTTACTAAATGGGCACAGGAATGTGCATCTCCTAGAACTGTTGGAGAGAGAGGACTTGGCACAGAGCCTGGCATATAGTCCCTCTCATGGTCATCATCGAGATAGAGTGGACTGGGTGGTCTTCCAGGAAATTCTTGGCAGGAAGTAGATTCTTGAGAAGGGCTCTGGAACCCTGGGCTGTGGAATGGAGGAGGGGAGGAGAGGTTAGCTTGTCTCCAGGGCCACATCCCAACCCTGGCCTTGGAGCACAGTTTCTGGGGGAAAGACAGCTTCAGGGCTGCTTCTCTGGATTCTGACTCCCCAGACTCAGTAAACAGCAGCAGCTTTCCTCTGAGCTCACCCTCCTCCCCTTGACATGATCTTTAAGTATGCTAATGCCATCGTTCACAGAAATCAGTTCTGGCTCTTCTGGCTTTAAGCTGGTGAATACCTTCTCCCTGAGGTGTCTCCAGCCAGTTCTGCTCACTCTGGCCGTGTTATTCCCTGATCCAACCTCCATCAGGCACCCCAGGCTGGAGTGGGGGCTTGGGGTGCATGCCTGGGTTTAACTTGTTCTGAGAGCCATAGTTCAACAGTCCTCAGCGTCCCCTTGTATTTATCTGGAAACTGCAGCCTTTTACCTTCAAAGGTTTGCCTTGCTGTTCTGCCAGGGAAGATTCTGTTGGCCGATCTCTGCCATCACCCTACACCCACAACCTGACGTTCTGGGTGATCTCCTGGTCAGCTTCTCCATGCTCTGCGCTGGACTTGCTCCACCCCATGGGAGCCTTCTTTCCCCAGCCTGAGCCTTCCCACACTCTCTTCGCATGGCTCCCTCTTTTGCCCTCTATTCAGTCTAGGTCCAAGCAGGAATCAGCTTTCACTCAGTAACACTTCCAAAAAAAGGAGCAGCATAAGAAACCCAAACAGAAATAAAAGACATTCAATTGACTGTCCAGATATCAGAGAGATGTAAGGACAGTGGCAGTGTGTGTGGGGGGGGGAAGGGGGGTGCGTGAGCACATGCATGTACCTGTGTGGTGAACAATAGGACCTCTCAGGTCACCTGTGACTAAGAACCAGGCCTATTTACAGATTGTAGCAGGGTCTTAGTAGCCCAGTCTGTCCTGGAACTCACTCTCCAACTCCTGGCAATCTCCTTGCCTCTGACTCCCAAGCGCTCCATCATTATAGGCATGCTCCATCAAACCTAGCTATTTTCACATTTCTAATTGGTCACAGCCGACACTATTGTAAATACAGTGGGAATAAATGACTAGGAAGTGAAAAAAATTTAAATGAAGGCACATAAAATAAAAGCATAATTAAAAACGTAGAAGATCCAGTAGGCTTCTGTGACTCTATCAGATTGCTCTGGCATGTCTGGACACTTATTCTCTGTTTTCCACTTACCTTGTCATACCCTGGAAACATAATTGGCAGGCCCATAACAGTCTGTAGATCACACTCACCGTAGCCCCAGTCCAAAGGATGGAGCCAGGAAAATGGCCTTGCGGAGAGAGCAGTCTTTAATATCCCAGGGACTCTGGGAAAGACAATGTTAGTAACTCCACTCATTCAAAAAACATTTAATGAGCAGTAGCTATGTGCCAGTCACTGCGGGATGCCAATGCTAATAATGATTAATGTGCCAGGGTCCTAGCCCTCAAGGGGTTCACAGCCTAGAATGGGATACAGCCACTTTGATAAATAATTAAAAGCTAGTAAAATTAGGTCAACAATAGACAGGGTACTGTGGCCAAGGTGGCAGGAATATTAACCCTGCATGTGCTGACTGGGATGATGCTATCCAGGAGTCTAGGCAGGATCTGGAGAGTGGAAGGTGTCTGTTCAGTAACATATGCCTCCTGCTCTCAATAAAGTGTGTAAAGTGCTTCACGTGCAGGGCCTTGTGCCATTTAAGTGCCCCCCTCCTTTGAAGACAGGGTTTCTTTGTGTAGCCCTGGCTATCCTGGAACTTACTCTCTAGACCAGACTGGCTTCAGACTCAGAGATCTGCCTGCCTCTGCCTCCTGAGTGCTGGGATTAAAGGCATGTGCCACCACCACCCAGCCATTTAAATTCTTTAAAAAAAATTTATCGTTACTCTGGGTGTGGCTGTGGGTGTGGGTTTCATGTGTGAGTGTGGGCACATATTCACGCCCCAGTATATGTGCGGAAGTCAGAGGATAACTTTCAGAAGTCAGTTCTCAATTTCCACAGGTAATAATAAAAATAATAAATTGTGTGTGATGTATATGCGAGCATACAAGCTATGGCATGTGGAGATCAGAGGACAGTTTTGTGGACTTCTCTCCTTCCACCTTTACACAGATTTCCAGGGATTTAATTCAGGCCACCATCTCAGGCTTGAATGGCAAGTGTCTCTATCTGCTGAGCCATGTCAACAGCCCTCCACCTTGATTTTGAGGCAGGGTCTCTCGAATTTCTGCTGTGCTTCCCACTCGTGGCTAACCGACCCTTGAGCTTCAAGACGATTCTCCCATTGCTATCTTCCATCTTGCTGTAGGATTTTGCACCACTGCATCTGGCTTTTATGTGGATTCCAGGGATGGAATTTGGGTCAAGATTTGTGTGGAAAGTGCACATTTACCAGCTGAGTCATTTCTTTCTTTCTTTCTTTCTTTCTTTCTTTCTTTCTTTCTTTCTTTCTTCCTTCCTTCCTTCCTCCCTCCCTCCCTCCCTCCCTCCCTCCCTCCCTTCCTTTCTTTCCTTCTTTCTTTCTTTTTCCTTTTTCTTTTCTTGAGAGAGAGATTATCATATAACCCCAGTTAGCCTTGAACTCACCAAATAGCAAAGA